CAGTGACCTGGTCTCAGTGACCTGTTCTCAGTGACCTGGTCTCAGTGACCTGGTCTCTCATTGACCTGGTTTCAGTGACCTGGTCTCAGTGACCTGGTCTCAGTGACCTGGTCTCAGTGACCTGGTCTCAGTGACCTGGTCGCAGTGACCTGGTCTCAGTGACCTGGTCTCTAAGTGACCTGGTCTCAGGGACCTGGTCTCTAAGTGACCTGGTCTCAGTGACCTGGTCTCAGGGACCTGGTCTCAGTGACCTGGACTCAGTGACCTGGTCTCAGTGACCTGGTCTCAGTGACCTGGTCTCTCAGTGACCTGGTCTCAGAGACCTGTTCTCGCAGTGACCTGGTCTCAGTGACCTGGTCTCAGTGACCTGGTCTCAGTGACCTGGACTCAGTGACCTGGTCTCAGTGACCTGGTCTCAGTGACCTTGTCTCAGAGACCTGGTCTCAGTGACCTGGTCTCTCAGTGACCTGGTCTCAGTGACCTGGTCTCAGTGACCTGGTCGCAGTGACCTGGTCTCAGTGACCTGGTCTCTAAGTGACCTGGTCTCAGGGACCTGGTCTCAGTGACCTTGTCTCAGAGACCTGGTCTCAGTGACCTGGTCTCTCAGTGACCTGGTCTCAGTGACCTGGTCTCAGTGACCTGGTCGCAGTGACCTGGTCTCAGTGACCTGGTCTCTAAGTGACCTGGTCTCTAAGTGACCTGGTCTCAGTGACCTGGTCTCAGTGACCTGGTCCCTCAGTGACCTGGTCTCAGTGACCTGGACTCAGTGACCTGGTCTCAGTGACCTGGTCTCTAAGTGAACTGGTCTCAGTGACCTGGTCCCTAAGTGACCTGGTCTCTCAGTGACCTGGTCTCAGTGACCTGGTCTCAGTGACCTATTCTCAGTGACCTGGTCTCAGTGACCTGGTCTCTAAGTGACCTGGTCTCAGTGACCTGGACTCAGTGACCTGGTCTCAGTGACCTGGTCTCAGTGACCTTGTCTCAGTGACCTGGTCTCAGTGACCTGGTCTCTCAGTGACCTGGTCTCAGTGACCTGGTCTCAGTGACCTGGTCGCAGTGACCTGGTCGCAGTAACCTGGTCTCAGTAACCTGGTCTCAGTGACCTGGTCTCAGTGACCTGGTCCCTCAGTGACCTGGTCTCAGTGACCTGGTCTCAGTGACCTGGTCTCTAAGTGACCTGGTCTCAGGGACCTGGTCTCAGTGACCTGGACTCAGTGACCTGGTCTCAGTGACCTGGTCTCAGTGACCTGGTCTCTCAGTGACCTGGTCTCAGAGACCTGTTCTCGCAGTGACCTGGTCTCAGTGACCTGGTCTCAGTGACCTGGTCTCAGTGACCTGGACTCAGTGACCTGGTCTCAGTGACCTGGTCTCAGTGACCTTGTCTCAGAGACCTGGTCTCAGTGACCTGGTCTCTCAGTGACCTGGTCTCAGTGACCTGGTCTCAGTGACCTGGTCGCAGTGACCTGGTCTCAGTGACCTGGTCTCTAAGTGACCTGGTCTCAGGGACCTGGTCTCTAAGTGACCTGGTCTCAGTGACCTGGTCTCAGTGACCTGGTCCCTCAGTGACCTGGTCTCAGTGACCTGGACTCAGTGACCTGGTCTCAGTGACCTGGTCTCTAAGTGAACTGGTCTCAGTGACCTGGTCCCTAAGTGACCTGGTCTCTCAGTGACCTGGTCTCAGTGACCTGGTCTCAGTGACCTGTTCTCAGTGACCTGGTCTCAGTGACCTGGTCTCTAAGTGACCTGGTCTCAGTGACCTGGTCTCAGTGACCTGGTCTCAGTGACCTGGTCTCAGTGACCTGGTCTCAGTGACCTGGTCTCAGTGACCTGGTCTCAGTGACCTGGTCGCAGTGACCTGGTCTCAGTAACCTGGTCTTAGTGACCTGGTCTCAGTGACCTGGTCTTAATGACCTGGTCTCACTGACCTGGTCTCTCAGTGACCTGGTCTCAGTGACCTGGTCTCAGTGACCTGGTCTCAGTGACCTGGTCTTAATTACCTGGTCTCAGTGACCTGGTCTCTCAGTGACCTGGTCTCAGTGACCTGGTCTCATTGACCTGGTCTCAGTGACCTGGTCTCAGTGACCTGGTCTCAGTGACCTGATCTCAGTGACCTGGTCTCAGTGACGTGGTGTCTCAGTGACCTGGTCTCTCAGTGACCTGGGCTCAGTTACCTGGTCGCAGTGACCTGGTCTCAGTGACCTGGTCTCAGTGACCTGGTCTCAGTGACCTGGTCTCAGTGACCTGGTCTCAGTGATCTGGTCTCAGTGACCTGGTCTCAGTGACCTGGTCTCAGTGACCTGGTCTCAGTGACCTGGTCTCAGTGACCTGGTCTCTCAGGTACCTGGTCTATCAGTTACCTGGTCTCTCAGTGACCTGGTCTCAGTGACCTGGTCTCAGTGACCTGGTCTCAGTGACCTGGTCTCAGTGACCTGGTCTCAGTGATCTGGTCTCAGTGACCTGGTCTCTCAGTTACCTGGTCTCTCAGTTACCTGGTCTCAGTGACCTGGTCTCAGTGACCTGGTCTCAGTGACCTGGTCTCAGTGATCTGGTCTCAGTGACCTGGTCTCTCAGTTACCTGGTCTCAGTGACCTGGTCTCAGTGACCTGGTCTCAGTGACCTGGTCTCATTGACCTGGTCTTAGTGACCTGGTCTCTCAGTGACCTGGTCTCAGTGACCTGGTCTCAGTGACCTGGTCTCAGTGACCTGGTCTCAGTGACCTGGTCTCAGTGATCTGGTCTCAGTGACCTGGTCTCTCAGTTACCTGGTCTCTCAGTTACCTGGTCTCAGTGACCTGGTCTCAGTGACCTGGTCTCAGTGACCTGGTCTCAGTGACCTGGTCTCAGTGATCTGGTCTCAGTGACCTGGTCTCTCAGTTACCTGGTCTCTCAGTTACCTGGTCTCAGTGACCTGGTCTCAGTGACCTGGTCTCAGTGACCTGGTCTCAGTGACCTGGTCTCAGTGACCTGGTCTCAGTGACCTGGTCTCAGTGATCTGGTCTCAGTGACCTGGTCTCTCAGTTACCTGGTCTCTCAGTTACCTGGTCTCAGTGACCTGGTCTCAGTGACCTGGTCTCAGTGACCTGGTCTCAGTGATCTGGTCTCAGTGACCTGGTCTCAGTGACCTGGTCTCAGTGACCTGATCTCAGTGACCTGGTCTCAGTGACCTGATCTCAGTGACCTGGTCTCAGTGACCTGATCTCAGTTACCTGGTCTCTCAGTGACCTGGTCTCAGTGACCTGGTCTCAGTGACCTGGTCTCAGTGACCTGGTCTCATTGACCTGGTCTTAGTGACCTGGTCTCTCAGTGACCTGGTCTCAGTGACCTGGTCTCAGTGACCTGGTCTCAGTGACCTGGTCTCAGTGACCTGGTCTCAGTGACCTGGTCTCAGTGACCTGGTCTCAGTGACCTGGTCTCAGTGATCTGGTCTCAGTGACCTGGTCTCAGTGACCTGGTCTCAGTGACCTGGTCTCAGTGACCTGGTCTCTCAGTGACCTGGTCTCAGTGACCTGGTCTCAGTGACCTGGTCTCAGTGACCTGGTCTCATTGACCTGGTCTCTCAGTGACCTGGTCTCAGTGACCTGGTCTCTCAGTGACCTGGTCTCAGTGACCTGGTCTCAGTGACCTGGTCTCAGTGACCTGGTCTCAGTGACCTGGTCTCAGTGATCTGGTCTCAGTGACCTGGTCTCAGTGACCTGGTCTCTCAGTGACCTGGTCTCAGTGACCTGGTCTCAGTGACCTGGTCTCAGTTACCTGGTCTCTCAGTGACCTGGTCTCAGTGACCTGGTCTCAGTGACCTGGTCTCAGTGACCTGGTCTCAGTGACCTGGTCTCAGTGACCTGGTCTCTCAGTGACCTGGTCCCAGGATATCATGCGAATGCATGGCACCTCTTTCCAGATTGGTTGGCCAGCCCATGACATTTACCCTTACTTGGACTGACAAACCATCCACAAGCATCCAAAGTTTTTGCATCCCTCTCCCCGTTCCACCGCACATGGCCCATCATGCTTTGAATGCACAGCTGTACGATCAACTGCCAGCCAAGCCGAGGACTCGGATAGGTCTTACCGTACCTGTTGTGTTGTGTTGTGTTGTGGTATTAGTGCTCTTGAAAGATCACTCGACTCGACACCGAGACTATTTTTGAGGCGCCTTAAAAAGCATCCAGCAGGGAAGGGACATGTTGTGTTGTGGTAATAGTGCTCTAGAAAGATTACTCGACACCGAAACTGGCATTGAGCTCTCGCCCTGACGTGTGGGTGGAAACGGGGCGAGGGAGGTGAAAGGGAAGGTTGGGTTGTGCACCGAATTGACTCTGAATCCGAATTGACTCAGCCAGCCAGTACCGTACCTGAAGAAATCAAATGACCGCAGGTGAAGTGCTCTGCAAGCCTAGGTCACAGGCAAACCTAAGTCACATGCATGATTTGTACACTACCTTATAGAGTGTCGATCTAACAATATAACGAATCTTCACCAACCTACAATAAGCAACCTGTCTTTTGTTGGATATATTTCCTCCTAGAGGTCCCAAGCATTCTGTCAGGCGTTTAATCAAGGGTGTGCAAGCTGGTTTTTTTTCACATGGTTAAATTCTTTTATCCCAAATTTGTGTCAAACAAAAATGTCCATCAAGTCATGCTATTCCCATGTCACTGCTTACAAGTACCGTAGTAGTTTTACCAGTCGTTCAGTCATCGTACTTAAATCCATGGGCCCAATTATTTGCTAAGGCCCTCTTTACATCTTTATACACAAAACAGATGGGTAAACGATACTTTTAGACGCAGCAGGACAATCTAGCATCTTGGTATCTTGCTCTGCCACTAACGAGAGCCAGCAGCCAGCTCAGTAAAGCTGCAATGAGAAATGACCAGCACACAGAATGTGCACTGTAATTGAAGAACAGCGCAGCAGGATTTCGCCAACTTCTTAGATGATTCGGCTCCCAATCCCGGGGAGAGGATACAAGAGAAAATAGGTGGCCTACAGGCTGCAGTTATTCATGCTGCAGCCTTGGTGGCATGTGTGTGTGTGTGAGCTTCGCCCTTAAAGCCCGTGTCGGCTGCATGTTGCTGAATCCAGTCCATGGTGATGCTCTTGGGGCGCTCCAACGGCAATCCCAAGGCCCGGTCCCACACCAGCTGATGGGGGGAGGGGGGGAGAAAAGTGGGGAGGAGAGAGGGGCAGAGTGAGGAGCGTGAGAGAGGGGAGGAATGAGGAGCGTGAGAGAGGGGAGGAATGAGGAGCGTGAGAGAGGGGAGGAGGGAGAAGAGAGGGTAGAGCGGAGAAGAGGGGGACAAGAAGGGAGGGGCGAGTGAGAGTGGGAGTAGCGGGTTCACTATTGCTAGGTCAGTTAGTGCTGTTGGGAGTGAGGCAGTGGTGGCAGCAGGAGCAGCAGGAGCAGCAGTGGCAGCAGCAGTGGGAGAAGCAGAGGGAGAGGGAGAGAGATCGTCAGAGAGTGCGAGAAAGAGGGTGATGAAGCAGTCGCACTTATGGCGAAAGAGCATGAGGGTAGTGGCAGTTGAATAGCACTAGTCCAACTTGATGCGAGGTAGAGGCAGTGTGGTGTGATGCGGTGCAAGGCACACCACTGACCTGAGAAAGCACGCCCATGGCTCGAGAGACGCCGAACAACACTGTGTAGAAGCTGGTGGGGGGGATTGGGCGGATGGAGGGAGGGGAGAGAGGGGGGTGGAGAGGGGTTGTTTTGAGGAGAGGGGGAGGGGACTTAGGCAATAAGTCACCCATGTCTCGAGAGACACCAAACAGCACCGTGTAGAAGCTGGTGGGGGGATGAGGGAGGGGAGGGGGGAAGTTGTGGAGAGGGTTTGTGTGATGAGAGAGGGGAAGGGAGCTGGACAAAGAGACTCGCACTCGGGATTATGCTCTCAGAAATGTCACACGCGGGAATCTCATATGAATGGGATTTCACATATGTGGGATTGCTGCACTCACTAGCCTAGTCAGCACTCACTTGGCGTGGGTGAGCCCCAGGTGCTGCAGCAGCACGCCACTGTGTGCGTCCACGTTGGGCCATGGGTTCTGCACCTGGAGGGGGCAAGGGGAAAGGGGGAGGTGGAGGTATGAGGATGGTTGCATGCACACGTTCACTCACATGCACTCTTCCCCCTCACCTTACCCCCCTCCCGCCTCATTTTGCCCCTATCTCCTTTGGCCTCCCCAGCTCACCTTATCCACCCTGCCAATCCCCCCCTCACCTTGCCAGTCTCCTGCAGTATGGGCGGCACCACCTCGTACAGGTCAGACACCTGCAGTCAACACAGCATGGGCGGGGAATCAACAGAGGAGAGTGATCAGCAGTCAATGCAGTCAACGCAGTCAGTATGGGCCGCACCACCTCGTACAGGTCAGACACCTGCAGTCAACACAGTCAATGCAGTATGGGCGAGGGACCAACAGGGCACGGTGAGAAGAATAGTCAACGCAGTCAACCCAGCTCTTACCAGCTGCACCATGGGGTCATGCGCCATGTGCTGCCGTGCAAACTCCCACTGGCACGAGTAGCGCGGGTGTGTGACTCGCAGCACAGCATGCCCATACCCCAGCACCACTCTTCAATGCAGTCAACACAGTCAACAGTCAACGCAGTCACAGTCAACACAGTCAACGCAGTCAACACAGTCAACACAGTCAATGCAGTCAACACAGTCAACACAGTCAACGCAGTCAACACAGTCAGCACAGTCAATGCAGTCAGCCCAGTCAACTCAGCTCTTACCAGCTGCACCATGGGGTCATGCGCCATGTGCTGCCGTGCAAACTCCCGCTGGCACGAGTAGCGCGGGTCTGTCACTCGCAGCACAGCATGCCCATACCCCGGTACCACCCGCCCTGCTGCCAGCCCTCGCCTCACGTGCTCCCCCAGCTGCTCCTTGCTGGGTCGCTCGCCCAACTCTGCCCTCAGCGCGTGCAGCCACCCCAGCACCTCCTGGCAAGTGGTGGAAGAGGAGGGAGACGGGGGAGGAAGGGTGTGTTGAGAGTGGGGAACGGGGGGAGGATTGGGGCCTTCCCCCCGCCTCATCTGCAGCACAGCATGCCCATACCCCGGTACCACCCGCCCTGCTGCCAGCCCCCGCTTCACGTGCTCCCCCAGCTGCTCCTTGCTTGGACGCTCGCCCAATTCCGCCCTCAGCGAGTGCAGCCACCCCAGCACCTCCTGGGGAGGGCGGAAAAGGAGGGGGGGGATGGGAAGGAGAGGGAAACGGCGTTGGGGAGAGCCATTTGTCTGCTGGAGCAGAGACAGAGAGCGCAGAGAGGCAGGGCCAAGCAGATGGGGCGAGGAAACCATGCGAATGCATGCACCTCGCTCCTGATTGGTTGGCCAACCCATGAAATCTACCCTCACCTGATTGGCCAGTCCATGTAGCAGGCCAGCAAGCCCGTTGAGGCCGGCGGAGAGGGCGAGGAAGGGATCGGAAAAAGCTGATCCCACCAGGTGGGTGGCATGCCAACAGCCAGCTCTCACCTGATTGGCCAGTCCATGCAGCGGGCCGGCGAGCCCGTTGAGGCCGGCGGAGAGGGCGAGGAAGGGGTCGGATAATGCCGACCCAACCAGGTGGGTAGCATGCGCGCTCACATTGCCGCCCTCGTGATCCCTGCATGCATGCGTGTGTGGTTGCAAGGAAAGGAGGCATAGAAGATGGGAGATATGTTGGAGCGAGGCAGCGAGTGGGTGGCATGTGCATGCTCACATCCTATGGGCAGCGAGTGGGTGGCGAGTGAGTGAGGGCTCATTGCCGCCCTCGTGATCCCTGCAGCATCCTAAGGCCATGACATGCGCAGATGTCCCGCCATGGCGACTCGCATGGAAGGTGAGGTACAGCCTTAGCAGCTCGCCCATGCGCTCATCATCGAACCCCATCATGTGCGCCAGATTCCCCGCGTACCGACTCATGCATGGATGGCAAGGCACAGCCATGGATTCCCCGCATAGCGACTCACGCGTGGATGGTAAGGTAGACACACAGGAGCTCGTCCATGTGCTCATCGTCAAACCCCATCATGTGCGTCAGATTCCCCGCATAGTCCAGATCCTCCAGCGCATGGATGGTAAGGTACAGCCATAAGAGCTCGTTGTTTTCCATGCCACTCACGCGTGGATGGTGAGGTAGAGGCGCAAGAGCTCGTCCATCCTCTCATCGTCAAACCCCATCATGTGCGCCAGGTTCCCCGCATAGTCCAAATCCTCCCTCGCCGCCCGCACGCCCGGCCGCGCGCCGCCCTCCTTGCAGCTGCGGTTGTAGATCCGGGCGGCGATCTCCGGCAGGGCGGCAATCAAATCGAGACTGTCGTCTAGTGCGTGGCGCCAGAGGTCCCGCTTGTGTGTGCCGCGGTGGTACGCGGCTGCGAACTTGGAGGTGCGTTGCAGGGCGAGCACGGCTATAGAGAGCTGGGTCATAGGGTGGAGTGATGGGGGGAGCGACCATATCACCTGGCACGCCGCGTCTGATAAGGGGAGAGAGGGTGAGAGGGTGAGAGGAGAGGGCAGAAGTGGGGGGAGGAGAGAGTTTTGAGATCTGATTTGGATGCGTCGTTGGGTGGAGCAATGGGGGCAGTGACCATAAAACCTAGCACACCTCTGGTTCAGGGAAGAGACACCAGCACCAGCACCTCCCTTACCAAGCTCTATTTTTGAGGCGCCTCAAGCAATGGGGGGGGCAGCGACCGTACAACCTGGCATGGCACACCTCTGGTTCAGCGGAGAGACACCAGCACCCGCACCTCCCTTACCAAGCTCTATCCGCGTTATAGTCACCTACCTGGTAGCCGCGCTCTGTCCTGCAGCTCCACGGCCAGCGACACTGCCTGCTCCTCCGTGGGTACCTGGTGGTTGAGAGAGGAAGCGGGGGAGAAGAGAAGGTTTAAGGGACGCACGGCAGTTAGACACGTGAACACTCCATACCTCCAAACCACCCAGCTACAACCATGGCGCTACGTCGAAGGCGAGTTTGGCCCGAAGCCACTTTTTCTAGAGTCACCTCGCCCGCTACAGCCACCCCCCACTTACCTCGCCCGTTAGCAGCAACCACAGCAGCGCCTCGGGCAGCGGCTGGCCGCCGTCGAGCGCGGAGGGCAGCTGCGCCTGGCACTCAGGAATGGAGAGCCCGCGGAACTTGATGCCCTGGCGGAACGGGGCATCGGCGGAGGGAAGAGCGGCGGAGGAAGGGAGGGGGAAGGGAAGACGGGAGGAGAAAGCGGGAGGAATGAGGGAGGGGAGAGGGGAAAGGCGAGGGTAAAGCTTTGGTGATGGACGGAGCAGGTGAAGGGGCGAGACTGGCGGAATGCAGTTGGGAAAGGCCGGTACTTGGAGCGGGTGGTACCTGGAGAGGGTTTTACCTTGAGCGGGTCGAGCTGCGACGTCTCCCAGAGAAGGCCCTTGATGCCGCGCATTCCGCCCACCGCCTGCCACGTGGCACATCGCAATAACGCACATTCATGATTCGCGTCCGATGCATACTCGACCGAGTGAATAATGCGGCGACGAGGCACAACGATGCGCGCGCGTGCGCGTACCATGTTGACGGTGACGTCACCCAGGACCATGTCGCCGTACTTGGCTTTAATCTCCGCGAGTCGCGCACGCTGTTCCGGTACCACCTCTTCCATCGTCTCCCGCAGGTCCACCAGCTCCGGCACGCGCTGTGGCAACTGCACCCCCGCGCAGCGTGCGGCGAGAATCGAAAAGCGCGCAGGCGAGGCGGCAAGGGGCGAGAGGGAGGGAAAAAGGCAGGATGGCGAAGAAATGAGGAGGCGACGTGGATAAGGCGCAGTAAATGGGAGACGTTGGGACGAAAGAATTTGAGCGTAGTGCGGGAAGGCGGCACGGCGCAAGGTAAGGCGCGGGTTCAGCTTCCGCGCACCGTGGAGGAGAGGCGGTGCGGCGCGGCGTCTTCCACTCCCTTGAGAACTCCGCCGGGCTTGGAAGCGGCCTGGCGACGGGGGAGGGAAGAAGAGGGGAGGCAGCACAAGAACTTGAATCAGATGAAACGCCGTACGGAGGGCTCCATTATATTCTTGCTGGTTAGAAAGAGCTGTTTGCTCAGGGCACGGCGAGTCCATCGGAGCGTCAAGTAAAATCGACATGACTCGTACCTGTCGGACGGATGACGCAACGCGGCTAAGTACACGTCGGAACGCCATGGGTTATGATGGGCTTCTCTAGAAACGTAAAGCGAGATGCGCTAACAAGCAGCGGCCAAGGTGGATTCCAGTTTAGGGCTTGGGAAAAAGAGTGGTGCTGGTGGAAAAGCTAGAATCCCGGGTTTACTGCTATGAATATTGGAGAGGAAGATCAAGAAAGCCAGGATATGTGTGGTAAGATTGGAGAGGTGTTTCTCGCTTATTTTGAATGGGATGTAACCAAATGTGCGAGAGCAGGGTAAATGCGCCTCGGATGCACAAATTCGCCCCAATTGGGATGGGGAGGAATTTGTGTCACGTGAGCTCGCTGCGCATGGAAGTGCTTCGTGTCCTTTCTCACGGGTTTAGGCCAGCTGGCATTTACCCAATCCGAAGTGGTGTTGCGCTGTTATCATTCAGGGCATGCCATTCGCGGAACGGCGGGATACTTTTTTACCTCACGTGCTACACAAAGCTTCAGGAGTGGACAATAGATCCAGGTGGCGTTGCTTGACTCGCGATGCATCTTTCCTTGTCCAGGGTAGATTCGGGAAAGCCTCTGACTGGTCGCAAAATACGGACACGAAATGCCGCTCGCGCGCACGTGTTTGACTTGCAGCATTCCAATGAAAAATCTCCAGTGTTCGAAAAATGAAATAAACACCAAAACATGTAGGCGCTGTTCTGTTGCCGCATTGGCTTTTGAGCGGAGAACCGCATAGCACAGCACAACGGGTACGGAAGGAAGCTCTGACGAAGCATCAACTAGTCTGAAGTCACGTAGACGTTTCTGGGCATCCTCCCAGACTGACGACGTCGAATCGTTTTTTTTATCTCACGGACCGAACACATTTGAGGAGAGCGATTGGTTGTATTTCGGTTTTTGGCCTGCCCGGGCGTTGATGCTTGCCCGGGTGCGCTCGTGCTATGCATGAATCCCCCTCGTCGTGGGGATTGGCTTGCAGTGCGGCACATCAGGTTTGCCCGTGAAGGATGGTTCGAGGTAGGCTCCAAGCGCATTGCGGGTTCAGCGTTCTTTTGCACGCATTAGCCATCTCTGCACAGCACAGCACTGGTTAGGTTCGAGAAGGAGGTTCAGGGCCCCGAGCCTGTTTTAAGGAACGCGCCTTGGAAAGGAATTTTCAGGGCCCTATCATCGAAGAGTGTACGAAGCATGAACTGGTGCTACACCTTGTTCTCGATAATTTCACGGCCTTGATGCCGAGTCGCGTCTACGTTCCGCGCGGGCGAGGTGTGAAATTAAAGGGGAAAAAAAGCCGCGCGGTAATTTCACACGCCAGATTACTGGACTTGGATGCTGACTGTAAAGTGCGAGTGTACAGCGCGCGCCAGCCTGGAAAATGCCCCACTCAAGACATCCTCACTGGAAAATGCCCCACTCAAAAAATTGTTTCATTCTCACTGCACCAATCACGCTTCATCTTATTTGTGGGAGGAGAAGTTCCTTCCCCTTGCTCAGCTTTCGGACTCAACAGATTCACCCCCCCAACACACTTAGGTCCGAAAAGCGTTCCTGCTTCCAAGGAAGCTGGAACACCACCAACCGCTGCCGCCTAGGCATGGTCGTCAGGTCGCTGGCGATCCCGAGTCGCGCTGTGCGTTTAACCCCTGTGAAATAATCGAGAACAAGGTGTATGTGTTTGTTGCCGCAAAGCCAATGTGGCAACAGGCCATGTTCCTACGGCCCCTTATCAGGGACACCTCGTATCAGCTTCGCATTTTTGCCTGGTAAAATTTGCGAAGGTTTTCGGGTTTAGGGAAATTTCAATGTGTTGTGACGCGAGCCTGATAAGAGGTTGGCCTGATAAGGGGCCGTAGGAACAGCCCTAAGCCATGAGATTTGAATGTAGTGTTGAGGCATCACAGGCTCACATAACCTCATCAGAGGCCAGCAATGTATCAATATGCATGGTGAAGAGTTGAGTACCAGCAAACACCTGCAAAAAGAAAACATGTAGCTCTCAGAATTGAACCCGAATATGGGATACAATAAAGATAGACAAAGAAATATAACAAGCAGAGCTAAAGCATAGGAGAGGGACATGCCTGAAAGAATTCCTGGTCATCCTCTGGGAAGCCGTTGACAAAGCTCTCCTTGAGAAGAAGCGACACCTGCCATGCCACGCCATGCCATGCCACACCACACTCTCGCGATAAGGTCAAGAGACAAAGCGTTGCATCATTCACACAACTGAGTGTGAAGGGAGTGTGGCTCCACTCACCCGCTGCCCACCCGCATTGACGCTGGTGATGGTGTGGATGCGCACGTCGGTGCAGAAGGTGCCTTTACAGTCGACACAACACTCACCCGCTGCCCATCGGCGGGAATGTGACTCTGAACTCACCCGCTGCCCGCCTTGGTTGACGCTGGTGATGGTGTGGATGCGCACGTCGGTGCAGAAGGTGTCGACGTAGCTCCTTAGCGTCATCAGAAAGCCGTCTGCTGCTGCCACCTGCTCTCACAGCCGCACACACTCACACACAGATAGAGAAAGAGGGAGAAAATGGGTGAGAAAAGGGCAGGAGTGACATGCGCACGTGGGTGCGCAAGGTGTTGATGTCGCTCCTCAGCGTGTGTTTTTTGATGTAGCTCCTCAGCGTGTGTTTTTTGATGTAGCTCCTCCGCGTGTGTTTTTTGATGTAGCTCCTCCGCGTGTGTTTTTTTATGTAGCTCCTCAGCGTCATCAGGAAGCCGTCTGCTGCTGCCACCTGCTCTCCCTCCCTCACACACACCCACACACCCATTGCAGCCGCACCCACACACGGAAAGAGAAAAGAGGGAGCAAATGGGTGAGAAAGAGCCAGGAGTGACTGCGAGGGAGATGCTCATGCAGCCTCAAAGCTCATTTGTGGTGGTGCTCCACACACTCCACCTCATGCTCTCTGCTAAGCTCACCTAGCCCTTGCTTGCACCCACCAAATCCTCTCTTTCTCCCACCTGGCCCTCTGTTGCGCGCATCTGGTCATCTGTTGCGCCCACCTGGCCATCTGTTGCGTCCACCTGGCCATCTGTTGCGCCCACCTGGCCCCACCTGGCAATCTGATGCGCGCACCTGGCCATTGTTGCGCGCACCTGGCCATCTGTTGCGCCCACCTGGCCCCACCTGGCCCTCTGATGTGCGCACCTGACCATTGTTGCGCCCATCTGGCCCTACCTGGCCCTCTGCTCCCCCCACCTGGTCCTCGGTGGTGCGGTACATGGAGCGCTTGTCAGCGTGCGGCATGGAGGCAAGCGCAGAGAGGTAGGGCTCCAGGCGGCTGCTTTTGAGGCGCCTCAAGAACGTGTAAGCACCGCAGCTCACTGGGAATATGTACAAAATATCCCCACCTGGTCCTCGGTGGTGCGGTACATGGGGCGCTTGTCAGCGTGCGGCATGGAGGCAAGTGCTGAGTGGAAGGGCTCGAGGCGACTGTACAGGTCCACCTCATCAGGTAAGCGCGGCAGGTACGTGGGCACCTTCACCTGCCAATATGGGGATGGGCGGATGGGAAAGAGTGAGTGAACCCCGAGTGTGCGGTGGAGTGGAAGGGCTCGAGGCGGCTGTACACCTCGTCTGCCAGGCACGGCAGGTACGTGGGCACCTTCACCTGCCCACATGGTAGGGAGGGGGGTTGAGACCTTTGAGTCGAATGGGGCAGAAGGAGTGACCCCCATGTGGAGTGGAAGGGCTCGAGGCGGCTGTACAGGTCGACCCCGTCAGGTAAGCGCGGCAGGTATGTGGGCACCTTCACGTGCCAATAGGTTTGGCATGCGGGGCGACAGAGAGGGTGAGAAGGGGCGCAAGGGGGGTGGAGAGGGTGGTAGGTGCAGCAAAGCACGTTTCTGCAAGGTTGAAAGAGAGGGTGAAAGGAGAAGTGGAAGGGGGTGCTCTCATTGTCCTTGAGAATGTTCACCTTGTCCTTGAGGATGTTCACCTTGTCCTTGAGAATGTTCACCTTGTCCTTGGGAATGTCCACCGCATGTTCATCTTGTCCTTGGGAATGTTCATTCACCTAGTCCTTGGGAATGATCAGCGAACGTCACCTTGTCCTTGGGAATGTTCACCTTGTCCTTGCGAATGTTCACCTTGTCCTTGGGAATGTTCACCTTGTCCTTGGGAATGTTCACCTTGTCCTTGGGAATGTTCACCTTGTCCTTGGGAATGATCAGCGAATGTTCACCTTGTCCTTGGGAATGTTCACTCGGATGAGGTTGCTGGCTCGGTCCTTGAGCTCCACTGTCTTGTACTGCATGCCCACCTGCATGGCGCCACGGGAGAGGAGAAAGGGAGGGCGAACGTGGGAGTGAGAGAGGAGAGGTGGGGGGGGGGGGGGGGGGGGGGGGGAAGGGGAGAGGGGGATAGGAGAGAAGGGAGAGGGAGAGGGAAGAGTGAGGCATCGATGAGAGAAAGACTGCTGGCACAACCACAGAACAACATGCATGGTTTCATAACGACGGGCGGGACTCACAAGGAAGGGCACGGGTGCATCGAGGAATGTGAGAAGCTGACTGGGCAAAATCTGTGGTGCAGGGGGGTTGGGGCGGGCGAGAAGGGATGGAGTAAGAGAGGGGTGGACAGAAAGTCACAGGGATGGTGGCATTGAGTGTGAAGCGGCAGCAAGAAACGAGTGCATGCACCCTTGGTTTCTTTCCACAAGCAGCAGGATTCTCACAAAAAACAGAGAACAGAGCAGAGAGCACAGCACAAGTGCAACCAGTGGCAGCAAACAGAGGAAGAGACGATAGGAGAGCAGAGGAGGGAGGAGAGGGTGTTGAAGGTGGGAGCAAAGGAGGAGAGGGTCTGGTAGGGGGAGAGGCACGGACCGGCAGCAGCACGGACTGCCAGGAGAAGGGGCGGATCATGGGGATGAGTGATAGTACCACCGCTGACAGCACACTCTGCATGGACGCACATGTGCAGGGGGGACAGAGTGGTGGGGGGGGAGGGGAAGGGAGATGGGCGGTTGCAAAGATGCAGGCGAAGGGAATGGTGGGATGGAGGACACGAGGCAGGAGAGTTGGTGGAAGGGAAAAGCCCTGCAGCTACGATGATGGTTGACATTTGCCAAGCAGCAGCTACGATGATGGTTGACATTTGCCAAGCAGCAGCTACGATGATGGTTGACATTTGCCAAGCAGCAGCTACGATGATGGTTGACATTTGCCAAGCAGCAGCTACGATGATGGTTGACATTTGCCAAGCAGCAGCTACGATGATGGTTGACATTTGCCAAGCAGCAGCTACGATGATGGTTGACATTTGCCAAGCAGCAGCTACGATGATGGTTGACATTTGCCAAGCAGCAGCGAAGGGGCATGGAGAGGACAGGACGAGAGAGCAAGAGCAGGCACGCACCAGGTTAGGGCAGACGAACACGATCTGCCGCTCCAGCAGCACTGCTGCTAGCACTGTGAGGATCTGCGAGGGGTGTAGCGGCAGGGGAGGGGAGGGAGAGAGAGGGCAGTGGAAGGGAGGAAGGAGGACGAGGTTGGGGCAGACGAAGACGATGTGTCGCTCCAGCAGCACTGCTGCTAGCACTGTGAGGATCTGCGAGGTGTAGGGGGGGCCGGGGGGGGGGGGGGGGGGGGGGGGGTTTGAGGGGAGGGAGAGATATAGGGCAGTGGGAAGGAGAAGCGATCGCATAGACGAAGACAATCTGCCGCTCCAGCAGCACTGCTGCTAGCACATGCTGGCGTTTCAACTCACATTGTCAAGGCTGAGCGCGCGGCAAGCAGCAGCGACAGCAAAGCACGCCACCCCCGCGGCCTCCTCTGCGTGCATGAGCTCCCTCAGCAGCAGGTAATCGGCGTGGGGGGGAAGCAGCGCTCGTCGATGTCGAGCTCGCTGCGGGGTTTGACTCACATTATCAAGGCTGAGTGCACGACACGCATCAGCAACGGCGAAACACGCCACCCCAGCAGCCTCCTCCGCGTGCATGAGCTCTCTTAAAAGTAGATCGTCGGCGTGGGGGGGAAGCACACACCGGCATGCAGGAGTGAGCACTCACATTGTCGAGGCTGAGAGCACGGCAAGCAGCAGCAACAGCAAAGCACGCGACCCCAGCGGCCTCCTCTGCATGCATGAGCTCTCTTAGAAGTAAACCGTCGGCGTGGGGGGGGAAGCAGCGCTCGTCGATGTCCAGCTCGCTGCGGGAGAAGCCGAGCGGCAGCAGGTGGGGTAATGGATGGAACAGCATGGCCTGCCCGCAGGGGGGCACCTGGGATGTGTGGTAAGCACACACGATTTGGAGTGCGTCGTTGTGGTGATCCTGGAGTGAGACAGGGGGCAGGGGAAGAAGGATGGGGAGGAAGGGGAGCAGAGGGCGTGCATGAGCAGCAGGTTGTCGGTGGGTGGAAGAGGGCATGAGGGGGGAAGCAGCGCTCGTCGATGTCGAGCTCGCTGCGGGATAAGCCGAGCGGCAGCAGGGCAGGTGCGGTAATGGATGGAAGAGCATGGCCTGCCCGCAGGGAGGGACCTGGGATGTGTGGTAGGCACAGACGAGCGCATCGTTGTGATGATCCTGGTGGGGGCGGTAGGGGGAGGGAGAGGGGGGTTCGGAGGGGCGGCAGGTGGGGCAGCGCGTGGAACAGCATGGCCTGGCCGCACGGAGGGACCTGGGATGTGTGGTAGGCGCACACGATTTGAAGCGCATCGTTGTGGTGATCCTGGGGGGAACAGGGGGGGAGGGGGAGGGGAAGAGGGGGTTTGGAGGGGCGGCAGGTGGGGCAGCGGGTGGAACAGCATGGCCTGGCCGCAGGGGGGCACTGCGGAGGTGTGGTACGCGCACACTATCTGCAACACGTCATTGTGGTGGTCCTGGGGGGGAGCGGAGAGGGAAGGGGGAGGGGGAGTAGAGGGCGTGCATGGGCTCCCTCAACAACCGCATGGCCTGGCCGCAGGGGGGCACTGCAGACGTGTGGTAGGCACAGACGATCTGGTGCGCGTCGTTGTGGTGATCCTGGGGGAGGTAGAGAGGATTGGGAGGGCGTTTGGGAGGAAAGGGGATAGATGGCATTGGGGCACAAGGCACCATGTTTTACGAACAAGCTGGCTTGCACAGGGCGTCTACCCATTTCACACCTTCCCCCTCTCTCCCCTTCTCTCCCCCTCTCTTCCTCTCTCCACCTCTCTCCCTCTCTCCCCCTCTCTCCCCCTCTGCCCCTCTCTCCCCCTCTCTCCCTCTCTGCCCCTCTCTCCCCCTCTCTCCCCCTCTCTCCCTCTCTCCCCCTCTCTCCCTCTCTCCCCCTCTCCCCCTCGCCTCACCTCTGCCCATTGCCGTACAGCCTCCGCCCCGCAGTCCCCCTCCCCCTCCCCCTCCCCCCGCTCCCCGCCCGCCCCCTCGCCCTCGCCCTCCTCCACAAGCCCCCGATAGAAAGCATCATCGTCATCCTCCTCCTCCTCATCTCCATACTGCTCCTCCTCCGAATCCTCCTCCTCACTCTCTCTCCCGCCCCCCTCCTCCTCGTCCCCCTCCCCCTCGTACCCCGGCAGTTCCTCCTCAGACCTGCAGCGTGAAAGCATGGGTGGAGTGCGGTGGGAAGGGGTGGAATGGGTGGGTGACCTTCTCAGCTCAGAGGCATGAGTGCAGAGCTCATGCCTATTGGGCCATGATAAGCCAATATCTGCTCTTCAGCAGAATTTTCAAAGTAACAGGTTACTCTAGATGACTCTCTTGTCGGCAAATGCATAGCATAGCTTGGGTTGGAGGCGCAAGGGTGTCGCGGGGTAATGGAGGGCTCGGTGGAATTTGAGAGAGCTTGGCCATGCAGTCATGCATGCACCACATGCCGTCACATCACGATTCACAACCACCCCACACCACCCCACACCACAGCACACCACACCACAGCACACCACTGTGCCCACAACAGTTCACCTCACCCTACTCCACCGCAGCACATGGCAGCGAGCCCTGCTCACCCGGGGTCCTGAGTGAGGCTGCCAGCCAGCTTCAGCAACGGCTTCAGAGGCGCCTCCAAATATATCCGGATTTTTTAGGCGCTTAGAAATTCTACCCCAGCACATATGCGCCCTGCCTGCTCACCCAGAGTCCTCAGTGATGCTACGAGCCAGCTTCAACAACGCAACACACCACCCCACACAACACAACACCCCAACACCCCTGTGCTGTGCCCCTGCTCACCCGGAGTCCTCACTGATGCTGCGAGCCAGCTTCAGAGACGCCTTGCGCTCCATGGCCCCACGGCCCCCACCATCTCCTGCCCCAACCCCATCGCCCTTCGCCGCCTTGCTACCCCCAGTGCCCACACGCATGTCGTACTCGTTATAAGGGCAAGGGCCTAACGGGTTATCATCGTCGTCTACAGTCATGGATCGTCGCAGCTTCAGAGACAACCCTCCCGGCCCACCCATGCGCCCGCATTCGTCGTCCTCCTCCCCACTCTCCTCCTCCTCCTCGTCCTCTTCCTCCTCCTCGCTCTCATCCTCCCCTTCCCATAGCGTAACCATTTCTTCATCGTCCCACTCCTCGTCCTCATCTACCCCACCCAAGGCCCCATTCTCTTCAGTCATCAGTCGCACCAGTTTCCTCCCCCCACCTGCTCCCTTCCCCTCTGCTTGCCCCACCTCTTCAGTCATAAGTCGGACCAGCTTCTTTCCACTGCCCCGCCCTGCCTCCTCTGTCATCAACCGCACCAGTTTCTTCCTCCCACTCCTGCCCACCTCGCTCCTTACCTGCTCCTCTTCCTCCTCATCCTCCTCCTCTTCCTCTTTCTCCCACCCCCCACCTTCCCGCCTCTCTGCTGCTCGCCCCGCCTCTTCAGTCATCAGCCTCACCAGCTTCTTCCCGCTACCCCGCGCCTTCCCTCCTGCTCGCCCTGCCTCCTCTGTCATCAAACGCACCAGCTTTTTCCTGCCGCTGCCGGTTCTCTCGCTCCTTACCTGCTCCTCGTCCTCCTCGCCCCTCTCTCCCTCCTCCCCACCTTTCTCCACTTCCTCATCTCCCCGCCTCCCCCTTGCTCTACCGGCCTCTTCTGTCATCAGCCGCACCAGTTTCTTCCTTCCACTCCTGCCCACCTCGCTCCTTGCTTGCTCCTCGCCCTCCTCTCCCTCCTCTTCCTCCTCCTCCACTCGCCCTCCTCCCCTCCCCTTCGCTCGCCCCGCCTCTTCAGTCATCAGCCTCACCAGCTTCTTCCCGCTACCCCGCGCCTTCCCCCCTGCTCGCCCGGCCTCCTCTGTCATCAGTCGCACCAGCTTCTTTCCCTGCCGCCCCACTGTCCTCCTCTCCTCCTCTTCCTCCTCCTCACCCCCCTCCTCCTCCTCTTCCTCCTCCTCCACTTCGTCCTCCTCCACCTCCCCCCACTCCTCATCCTCCTCCTCTCCCTCTCCGCCCACCCATCCCTCTCCACCGCTCTCCACCGTCATCAGCCGCACCAAGCGCTGCCTCTCTCTGTGAGCCTTCTTTTCCACCTCACTATCCTCCTCCCTCTCCGCCCTCCTCCTCGCCTCCCCCGCTTCCACAGTCATCACTCGCTCCAGCTTCTTCCTCCTCCCACCCCTCCTCACACCCACTGCCCCACTCTCCTCCACCCCCTCCTCTCCTCCCTCCCCTGCACCTCCCTTCCCCACTCCTCCTTCCCCCGTCGTCGCCCCATCATTCTCGCCCTCTTCCTCCTCCTGACCCACTCCCCCAAACGACACTGCCTTGACCCGCCGAGACGGCGCCCGCCCCTTCCCCTCGTCCTCCCCACCCGCCTCCTGTCCACCCAACCCATCCTCAACCCCACTCCCCTCCCTGGGACTCTTACCATTCCCAGTGCTTCTCGGGCTTTTCGCACTCTTGGGGCTTTTCGGGCTCTTACCAGCCTTGCTGCCCGCGCCCTGCCTCTCTTCCTCGCCCTCCTCTCTCCACTCCCGCCCCAAATCACGATAGCTCCGCTTCAGCACGCCCGCTATGAACGTAAACCCGCCCTCCATGTGCACGGTCCCGCCCCCTCCCTCCTCTCCCTCCTCTCCCTCCTCCCCCTCTCCCTCTTCCTCCTCGTCCTCCCCTGCGCCGCCCACGAGCTCCCCCAGCAGCTCCCTCACATGCTCCTTCAGTTCCCCATCCACCTCGTCATCCCCCATCCCGTACCCCACACTGTCTGAGTGCCACATGCCGCCAGCGCCCGCTCGCCCCGCCTCCTCCTCGTGTGCTTGCAACAGCTCCTTAGGAACCATTAGCCGTCCTCGCCGCGATGCCTGCCTCATCGATAGTTCATCCTCGTCGTCCTCCTCTTCCTCATCCCCTTCTTCCTCCTCCACTTGCTCATCATGCTCACCCTCTCCCTCCTCCTTGCTCCCCTCAGCCGCACCCACTCCCCCATCCTCGTCCTCATCCTCCTCTTCCTCCTCCTCCTCCTTCCCTTCCTCGTCCCCTTCCTCGATACCTCTCTGCTCTCTCTCCTCCCTCTCCTCCCCCTCCTCCCCCTCCTCCCCCTCCTCGCCCTCCTCAATCCCCCCTTCCTCCATCCCCTCACCGCGCCCCTTCCCTTCCTCCCCCCCGCCCTCCCCACGCTGCTCCGCCTGCAACTGAGCAATGAACCCCTGCAGCCCCCTCACATTCGACAGGCCCCTCAGGCTCTTGAACCTCTTCACCTGCTGCTCCGCCTCCTCTTTCAGCTTCATCACGCCCTGCAGCCGCCGCGACGACGGCGAGCGCGAGAAGGAGTGGACCGGAGCGAGCGTGGAAACCGGCACAGCGAACGACATCGGATCCTTCTCCTTCTTCTTCTTGCCTCGAAATGACTTCCCACCCGCGCCCGCGCCCATGCCCATGCCATCCTCATCATCATCCTCGTCATCGTCGTCGTCGTCGCTGTGAAAGCCCCCCCGTCGCATGGCTTGGATGCCCCCGGCGTTGATGCGGCGCATGTGCTGCTTCATGTGGTCTAATCGCTCCTGCACCAGGATGCTGGAAGGGGGGAGCGGAGATGGTGCGAGGGGAGAGTAAGATGGGAGGGAGGATGGGAGGGAGGATGGGAGGGAGGATGGGAGGGAGGATGGGAGGGAAAAAAGGTGGCCGCGCAGTGATGTGCAGAGTGGGGAGGGAGGGAGAGGGTATGGGGTGGAAAGTGAGTGAGAATGAGGAAGTGTGGGTGGGGTGGGATTGGAATGCATTCTGTCTAGTAAGGTTTCTTCTGAACCTGCCTTACGTACCCATCTAGCCACCCATGTGTTGAGCACGGAGGGTGGGTGCTGCGCTGCACCACCTCTATAATTATTAATCACCCATCATCCGCCCTGCATCCACTCACGTCTTGAGCACCTCAAAGTGCAGGTCGAAGAAGGGCAGGCGGGTCAGGAAGCAGTAGCAGCGGGGCGCGTGACAAGGTAACCCAGAGGGCTTGGGGTCGTGCAGGGCGTTGTTCATAGGGAGCACGGAGGGCGGGCGTTGCACCACAGGATTGGAGAGCATTTTGTCTGCCAACGATGCTTTCCTACCTGCCGCTCCCATCCATCCACTCACGTGTTGAGCACCTCAAAGTGCAGATCGAAAAACGGCAGGCGTGTGAGGAAGCAATAGCAGCGGGGCGCCGTGACAAGGTATTTAGAGGGGAGTCCAGCGGGCTTGGGGCCGAGCAGCGCGTTGTTCATGGCGAGCACGGAGGGCGGGCGCTGCACCACCTCGTTGACCACCATGCACACCCCGTACAGCGTGGCGTTGTCGTCCACTGCTAGGAGGAACACGTATGCGTTGTCGTCCGCTGTTTGGTACGCCTGTGAGGCGTGTGTGAGACCGGGTTACGGGGTTACGGGGTTACGGGGTGAGCGAATGAGTGAGCCTGTGAGTGAGTGGCGGCGAGCACTGCCAGCAGGAACACATACACGTAGCCATCCGCGCTCTGGTATGCCTGTGGGGTGAGGGAAGGGGTGTCGAGCAGCATGAGGGAGGGTGAACGCCACGAGGGATGCGAGCACGAGGGGTGAGTGAGTGAGCGGGTGAGTGAGTGCGTGAGTGAGTGCGTGAGTGAGGGTGCAAGTGTGGGAAAAGAGGTGGAGATGCTCAGGCGGGTGTGCGTATAGAGGAGGAGGGTATATGGGGGGAGCGAGTGAGAGCAGGAGAGAGGGAATGCAGGGCGCACCTGGCCGTAGATGGACTGGTGGAAGCCCTTCATTGATGGTGTCTTCTCCATGCACCTCGCCTGCTCACCGCCAAAAACAGGCAGCACGCAGCATGGATGAGGGAGCAGGGAGAAGAATCGGGCGAGGAGAGTAAGACAGCAGCCCAAGAGTGTGTGTGTGGGCCTTCAGATGGGTGGCTGAACGGGAAAACGCAGCTAAACTTACACGCGGATGGATGATGAAACTTCATCCCACCTCACCTCACCTGACCGCACCTCACCTGACCGCACCTCACTGCACCTCACCTCAACACCGTTTGGGAAGCAGAAGCCTGGCAGGTCGGAGGGCGAAAGAGCAAGCTTCTTGCGTGGCGGGTACTTGTACAGCAGCTGGGGCGGGGGGGGGAGGGGGGGAAAGGAACGGGAGAGGGCACGAGGCAGAGCGGCCTTCTGAGTCGACTCACGATTGTCTCTGGTTGTGTGGCGGGTACCTGTACAGCAGCTGGGGGGAGGAGGGAGGGGAGGGGGGAGGTGGGGCAGGGGATGAGACAGGGTAGCAGCAGCATGCGGTGGAAGTGTGAGGGGTAGTGAGAATGGTTCCTGTCGCCGACCCAGCAGTCACCCTAGCCAGCACCCACCGTGCCCAAGCAGCACAGCATACCTGGGCATCGAGGTTCACAGCATACCTGGGCATCGAGGTGCACAGCAGGTGGCGGCACGGAGTCGCTGACAGTGCCGTTGAGCTGCCCGCGCTTGTGCGTGGCGAAGGCCGCCTCCACGCTGCTCAGGTCCGCCTCGGGGTGCAGCCCCACCACCACAAAGTGGTCTATGAACGTGTCTGCTTCCAATAGGCGATTGCGCTGTGGGGAGAGGGGAGGGGTGGGGGGAGGAGTTACTCAGCTGCCTCCACGCTGCTCAGGTCCGCCTCGGGATGCAGCCCCCCCAGCACGAAGTGATGTATGAATGTGTCCGCTTCTACCAGGCGATTGCGCTGCACACACGCACACACACACGCGAGGGTGTGGGAAGGAGGGGTGCTTGCATTGCAAGGCGTCTCTTCAGGTGCGCCTCGGGGTGCAGCCCCCCCAGCAGCACAAAGTGGTGTTTGAATGTGTGTGCTTCTAGCACGCGGTTGCGCTGTGGGGAAAGGGGGGGAAGAGAATAGAGACAGGGGAGTGGGCTGAGGGCGGGCAACAGCAGCAGCCCCTCGGGGTGCAGCCCCCCCACCACGAAGTGGTCGATACATGTGTCGGCTTCCAGCAGTCGGTTGTGCTGCACAGAAGAGGGGGGCGAAGACAGGGAGACAGGAGACAGGGTGAGGACACGGGGAGAGAATGAGCGAGGGAGTGGAAGAGAGGCTAAAGAGGGGGAGAGAGCAGCAGCGGAGGTGGGGAGAGCAGGTGAGGAGAGGCGTGGTGAGGAGGCATGGGGAGTGATGCAGGGCCGAGTGAGCTGGAGTGGAGGGCGCTTGTAGTGCGCCCTGCTGCTGCTCTGCTGAGCGAGCGAGTGAGAGAGCGGGCGTGTTAGAGAATTTGACAGAGCGAGCAGCAGCACTGGTTGAATGCTAAGGCAGCACGCCGTCTCACTGCACTGCGCGCCCTACACAGTTCTCACTGCACTGGGTGGGGGAAGGGGAGCGACAGCCGTACACTGTTCACGGATTGCAGCTCATTCCATTGCTTCTTGTCGTCCGTCAGCATCGCCGGGTCGTACACCTCCTCACCGCCCCCAACCCCTCGCTGCGACTTGGCGGAGAGCTCCTGCAGGAACTCCTGCACGCGCTCCCCGTCCGCTTGTCCCCCCGCGCCCCGCCCGCCGGCCGGCGTCTTCCCCTGGGGGGACACGGGCGGAATGGCGGAGGCGACGGTGCCCGCGAAGGACTGGAAGGCGGAACCGAACGACTGGAAGGCGGAAGCCATTCCCGCCAGCGCGGTCGAGGGGGTCTGCGCGGAGGGCTGCGGGGTGGGTGTGGCGGAAGTTGCAGGGAAGGAGGAGAAGGTGGGCAGCTGTAGGGAGACTCCGCCCCAGCCAGAGCCGGGGGAAGATTTCGCCCTCTCCGCCATTGGCGCTGCGCGACACGCGCGGAGAGGCTAAAGGGGGCAGCGACCGGAGGAAAGGCGGAGATGCTATGCGCGCGTGCGGAAGGGCAGAAGAGCTGGTTCGGCGCGTGATGACGGAAGGTAGCGCGGCAGGTGCATGGGACACGCGCAAGCAACCCAGATAAGGGGGACACTCGTCGACGAAACGTCCAGAGTGCCGACGACGCCAAGTGCCGCATCAATAAATATCTCTATTTTGGGACTGTTCTGTGCTGTGCTGTCTCTCTGTGCGATTATCACTGTTCCGGATGGATGTCAGGTGTCACTCCCGCCAAACTGTTACGGGTGGAATGAATCGAGGTAGCGAGGGTTGCACTAGAGTGTTGAACGAGTACAAAAAATGAGCGAAGGCATGAGCTATTACTTGCACGCGAAACATGCAAACGGTAACGCGGTGCGTGCGAGCTAGCTAGTGCTACGCTGGCGCGGGGTTCGGGCTAGTCCCGAAGCGTAGGCCGACTCGGCTGCTCCAGCAGTGCGAGGCTTGGCGAAGCCACGTTAGCAGTACCGTAACGGGTGAACAACGGTTGCGGCTGTACGCGATGTTGACGGTCGCAGTAAGGAATAGCGAGAAAAATCCTTACACTACCCCCCCCCCCCCCCCCCTCAAGAAGCCCCCTCCGCTACGCGAGTGCGTGTATATCGCGGAAACCTCGGCTCCTCAGGTACACTTGTAGGGCAGGGTGGTTTTCGATGTTGGCCAGGGGCACCCAGCTATCCTCAGTTGGCGTGCGGTCTTTCCAGCGAACGAGGAACTCGATCCTCTTGATGCCTGTGGGGTGTCGAATCCGATGGCTCAGAAATCTTCTCGGGCTCAATGATCGGCTCCGATGCAGGGCAAGTCATGGATGGCGGGCGGTGATGAGGCAGTTGGCTCGTGGTTGGGATGTAAGGGCGGAGCAGGCTGACGTGGAATGATGGGCTGATGTACCAGTCAGTCGGCAACAGTAAGTGGGCGGTAACTGGGGTGATCATGTGGTTGATTTGAAATGGTCTACAGTAGCGCGGTCGTAATTTTGGTACGAAGGGCAGTCTTAAGTTCTGTGTGTCGAGCAGTACGTAATCCCCTGACTGGTACGTGACTGGGCGATGACTGGGCGGTGGTGGCGGTCAGCGTTGCGTTTAGCGAAGACGTTGGCATTTTTAATTGCTTTTGCGGCTCTGGTGCGAGCAGCTTGCAGAATCTTGGCGAATTGCTGTGCTCGTGGCGTTGGGTTGTCCGGACTCGGCGTCATGGGCACTGTTGGGTTTTGCCCGTAGTTCAGGTAAAATGGGGACTGCTGCGTCGTCGCTGACGTGGCATTGTTGTAGGCGAACTCAATCAGCGGCAGTTGCTGCTCCCAAGTTGTCGGGTCGTCGCACGTGGCACAAATCAACTGCTCCATCGTCTGATTCGTCCGCTCCATTTGACCGTCGTGTCAGGATCTTATCATGCTTACAATTGTGTAGGCTATAGTGGGGTAGCCCATAAGGGGTACAACCCAATTAGGGTTAGTACTTGTACCCAACTGTTTCATAGTTCATTCATCCTCATTCGTTCTTCTGACATGGTTTCAGAGCAGGTCCTCCGCTAGGACCGTTTTTTTTTTTCCTTGGGCCCACCACAGCGCTACCCCGCTAGCCGCCCTCTGCAGCCCTCGAGCTGCCCCTACTGCCCGTTGCGACCGTTAGGCACCTAGGCTCGTCGCCACTAGCCCGTCGCCTCGGCCCGTCGCCCTAGGCCCGTCGCCCCCCGGCCCGTCGCCCGTCGCCACCTAGGCCCGTCGCCCCGCGGCCCGTTGCCCGTCGCCCCCCCCTAAGCCCGGCCCGTAGCCCGTCGCCCCTATGCCCCGCGGCCCGTCGCCCTTAGGCCCCCCGAGGCCCGTCGTTCCTGGCCCCGCGGCCCGTCGCCCCTAGGCCCCCGACCCCTCGGCCCTTTGCTCCTGACCCCGCGGCCCGTCGCCTCTAGGCCCTGCGGTCCGTCGCCCTTAGGCCCCCCCTGAGGCCCGTCGCTCCTGGCCCCGTGGCACGTCGTTACTGGCCCCGCGGCTTGTCGCCCCTAGGCCCCCGGCCCCTCGGCCCTCTGTTCCTGGCCCCGCGGCCCGTCGCCGCTAGGCCCCCGGCCCCTCGGCCCTTCGTTCCTGGCCCCGCGGCCTGTCGCCCCTAGGCCCCCAGCCCCTCGGCCCATTGTTTCTGGCCCCGCGGCCCGTCGCCCCTAAGCCCCTGCAGCCCATCGCCAGTAGGCCCCGGCCCGTCGACACCAGGCCCCACACGCCGCTTCTTGCGTGCTGCTGCTGCTACCCTGCTTGCCCCCCCCCCCCTCCCGTCCCCCCCTCTCTGCTGCTTCTGCGTGCTGCTACTGCTGCTGCTGCCTGCCTTGTGCTCTTCGCTGCCCTGCTTCTCCCCGCTCTGCGTGCTGCGCCACTATGGCTTCGCTTCAAGTTCTCGCGTTCGATCATGAGGGCAGACCGATTCAGTTTGACACGTGGTTCGACGACCTGCAGCTGTACCTACTGAGCGATTCTAAGGACAGTGTTTCGCTGTTTGACCTCGCGTCAGGCGCCGCTACCGCCCCTCCCGCCACAGCTGACAATGCGACTTGCTCACAGTGGCTTACTCGCGACGCTGCTGCCCGCTTAGCCATTCGCAACCACCTGCCGTTGGCCGAATGCGCTCACTTCGGACAGCACAGGACAGCACAGGCACTGTACGACGCTGTAGTCGCTCGCTACTCCTCGCCTGCCACTGCTTCTCTAGGCCGCCTGCTTCTGCCCTACCTGTTCCCCGAGCTGTCTGCCTTTGCCACGGTAGAGGACCTTGTTTCCCACCTCCGCACTAGCGACGCTCGCTACCGCGCTACCGTCCCTGCTGAGTTCCTTGACAGGAACCCGCCCCTGATGTACATCACTCTCTAATTCATAGTCACCCGACTCCCTGACTCTCTTCTCTCTATGAGGGACCACTTTCTCTCACTTGACCCCACCTCCCTCACTGTTGACCTACTCGAGGAGCACCTCCTTGCAGCTGAGACTAGTGCAGTTGCTGTAGGTGCTGCTCATGGCACTCCACCCACGCCCTTCTTTGAGGGGTGCTCCCCCTCCCCCCTTGCCCCCTCCTACGCCTCTGTTGCTGCTGCTGCAGACGTCCCTGGTGCTACGGACGTCGGGGCTGCTTCTGCTAGTGCCAAGCGCCACAGCGGCAAGGGCAAAGGTGGCAGGGGTGATGGCGGTGGCAGGGGGGGTGGTGGTGGGGGCAGCAGTGGAGGTGGTGGAGGCAGTGGAGGTGGTGGCAGCGGTGGGAGTGGTGGAAGGAGCGGGGGCTTTGGTGGCGGCGGTCGAGGCAGCGGTGGGAGTGGCGGTAGTGGCAGCGGTGGGAGTGGAGGCGGTAGGATTGGAGCTCAGCGTGGCGGTTCTGGAGGAGGACAGAGGCAGCAGCAGCAGCGTCGAATCGAGACCCTGTCGCCCCAGCAGCTTCGTGAGTGGTTTGCTCAGCGTGGGGCGTCTGGGGGTAGTGTTAGCTGCCCGTATGTCATTCGCACAGGTGACCGTGCTGGTCAGACATGCGGGAAGCTTCACACTCAGCACCGCTGCTTCTCCCGCCTCGACGACGCGCGCAGAGTTTGGTGACGAGGCCGAGCGCCCCCGCTGGGCAGAGCTGCTTAGGTCTGGAGTTGCTATCTTTGACCTAGACTATGATGCTATCCTTGCTGCTATGTATGCTTTGTCTGTTAGTGCCGAGGGTGACCGTTACCTGTCTGTGCCGCCTAACCCAGGTATAGAGGCTGCTGCTCTAGGTGCTAAAGAGTCTGTTCTCCCTGGTATTGCGCCTGCTGAGGCCTTGCACACCTTCACACTTGACTTAGGTGCCTCACGCTGTTTCTTTCGCGACATCACCACCCTCACTCCTCTCTCTGCACCAATCCCGGTCAGGCTGGCTGACCCCTCCGGGGGCCCGGTCCTCGCCCGTTCCTCCACTGTGCTCCCGTGTCCGGCGATTTCGTCCGGCTCACTGTCAGGCCTTCACCTCCCCTCGTTCTCTACGAACTTGGTGAGTAACGCAGCCCTCCAGGGCGCGATGGTCACTACCACCACTCGGGGGTCAGCGTGTGTCAATCTGCACGTGTACATGGACGGGCCGTCACCTGGCCACGTTCACTCGTCGGCCAGGGTCGAGTCTGTACACACTGGTTACCGAGCCTCCTCAGGAAGCTGCGTCTGCCCAGGTGTCAGCGTCAGGTCAGGTAGCACCCCCTTGCTCGTGTCGCCTCCTGTCGCACCAGACCCTTCTGTGGCACCACCGCCTGGGTCATCCCTCCCTGCCACGCCTTCGTGGCATGCACTCCCGCCTCCTTGTCTCTGGTCTTCCCAGGTCTCTGCCTCCCCTCCCACCCTAGCCTGTCCTGCCCTGCCTTCCTTGTCTCGAGGGGCGGCAGCGCACCGCTCCTCACTCCTCCTAGTTTCCCCCGACGACTGCTCCCCTGCAGACTCTCCACATGGACGTGTGGGGCCCAGCCCTCGTCAGTGGACAGGGCCGCGAGCGCTACTTTCTGCTGGTTGTTGACGACTACACGCGGTACACCACGGTCTTCCCCTTGCGCAGCAAGGGTCAGGTCGTTGATGTCTTGATCCCTTGGATCCGTGCAGTCCGTCTCCAGCTCTGCGAGCGGTTCCGTACGGACCTTCCTGTCCTGCGTCTGCACTCTGACAGAGGTGGTGAGTTCTCCTCCGACCTCTTGAGGGACTTTTGTCGTGGGGAGGGCATTGTCGAGTCATTCACGCTTCCGGACTCCCCTCAGAAAAATGGGATTGCTGAGGGCCGCATTGGCCTAGTCATGGAGGTCGCTCGTACCTCCATGATCCATGCGGCTGCTCCCCATTTTTTGTGGCCGTTTGCGGTCCGGTACGCTGCGCATCAGTTCAACCTCTGGCCCCGTGTCTCCTTGCCGGAGACCTCCCCTACACTGCGTTGGACGGGGAAGGTTGGCG